GGGCTGTGTCCACCATGGCCTGGACTCCTGTCCTCCTCTTCATCCTTTCTCACTGCACAGGTGAGGCCTGGGTCAGATGAGAGTGGCCCCTGGCCTGCATCAGCCCCTCTGTCCTAGGCCCTCTGTCTCAGTGTACCCTCGTCTGTACCCCATCACCCATGCGTGTCTGTGTCTGCAGGTTCCTTCGCCCAGCCTGTGCTGACCCAGCCGCCCTCCCTCTCGGCATCTCCTGGAGAAACAGTCAAACTCGGCTGTGCCCTGAGCAGTGACGTCAATGTCGGTGACAGGAATATGTACTGGTACCAGCAGAAGCCAGGGAGCCCTCCCCGGTGGTTCCTGTACTACTACTCAGACTCCGACAAGGAGTTGGGGCCTGGGGTCCCCAGTCGAGTCTCTGGGTCCAAAGATAAGTCGAAGAACACAGCGTTTCTGCACATCTCTGGGCTCCAGGCTGAGGACGAGGCCGTGTATTACTGTCATACTGGGCACAGTAGTGGTGCTCACAGTGACACGGGCAGATGGGGAAGTGGGACAAAAACCTCAGGCCTACAAGTGATGACCTCTTTGTTGATGCTTAAAAAAGTATACTGGCATTGTTCCAAAGATAATTTATCTTAAGAGGTTCTCTCTCAATATTTCCCATAGATTAAAAAAAATCCTTCCATAGACCCCCCCATCCTGATGTGTAGCTGAAGGTCCAGGTGCCTCAAATGATCTAGGCCAGCTCTCGCTGCCATAGGTAGACAGTGACACAGCGTGGACAGCCACATGGAGGGACTTGACTCAGGAGACTGAGCTGAAAATGAAGAGCATTTGGGAAAGGAGGGTCTCACTGCCAGAATGAGGACTGGCACCCAACTGGGGGATATTTCAGTCAGTCTGAACCTCTTTTCTTCACCCTCCTTCAGCATCTGACACCAAGGCCTTTAAGAACAAGTGAAAGGAGAGAGATGGCCCCTCCCACTCCTTCCTCCTGGCACAAGGCACCATGGTGGGCTTCCTGTCTTCCTGCTTCCTCTCCCAACACCCAGGTATACATTGAGACTCTGCAAGCTCCTCCATCCTCTATGGAGAGAGAGGTGATGGATCTGCATGAGTGGAGTTCCACAAATACACGTAAATATATAGAGACAGACATGACTATGTGCATACGATTACGTCCACACATATACTTATTCAGTGACCAAACATTTCCTCTTAATTAAGCAAAGGACCTTATCAAGTGACATCACAAAAGAGTGGTGCCAAACATGCAAGAAAGATTTCTAAGGAGGAGAAATAAAGAGCCCAGGCCCAGCCCTGTAGCACAGAGGAGAAGCACTGTCCATTGGGGGCCGGAGACGACG